TCACTTTACACATAAATATCTCAGTATTTTTCTTAGATTCTGTTCCAGCCACTTGCAAGTACATATCACGGGTAGTTCTTACAGGATCATTGCTATATCCAAGCGAGAAACTACGACGGGAAAAATACACAGCTTCCCAACACTGCTAAGTAAAAGTGATTAATAAGCCCCAACCAGCATCAGATTCAGCAGCTACAAGAAAAGCCCTATTAATCCAATTTAGAACAATGTTTTTGAGCAAATCAGCCCCAGGGAACACAAAGAAACATTTGGTCAAGTGCCTCTGGGCAGCATCACCTCAGCATTCAGGAAACATTCAGGCTACTGAAGGTACAAGATCATAGGTTTTAGTGTAAGTGCTGTTGTATTTCAAGCATCACTGTGCCTCCCATCTACTGCAGACCACAGCTCCAAGCTCCTTTTACCAAGGTGAGAAAATGGGAAAACGTTTGATGATTGGACATGGTAACACAGAATCAATAAAACACATCTGCTTTAAAAGAACAGAAGTCTGTTTGCTATCATGACAGGTCAGATGGAAGGAGACAAACCAGGTAGGCTGAACGAAGAAGTATTGCCTTCCCTTCACTTCCTTGCTACTACCTGATTATTTTAATAGCTAAGCAACTTCAGTTCTCAGAGCAAAACATAGAAATACCCAGTATTTGCTTCAAATGCAGCCGGGCAATTTTCCAATAGGGAGTTTTTTTGGTTGTCTTTCTTGTCAATTGGATTATCACTGGCCAGACTACATTTCTCCTCTGCAAGAGGAGCATACTGTAAGGAAGAAAACAAACAAAAAAGACAACACAATCTTCAACTGGACTTTCAAATGTGCACAGAGTGATTAGGACGTGCCCTTTCACAGCCAGAAGGAATGTTGCAGTGCTGAAGGATACATGGTGGATGCACACTCATGCTAGAGGGAGTCCACTTAGCTTAGCACAATACACCTTCCACATTGCTAGCTCCAAGACAAAATACTGCAATGCAGCAAATTGTTACAACATGCTCCCAGGGTATGCCAGCATGGAAATCCAGGAACAGGGCACTCGGCTGGAGAGAAGCACTGAACAATGCACCGCACAGATCATGACACGCTGAGTTAGATGACAACATGAAAGAGCATCTTAATAGGACAGCGTGTGGCTTCTTCAGCTCGAACTGCTCTGTTTTGAGCGAGCAGCAGCAATGTTCCAGATGACCCCATTATGTCTTGCTTTCTGTTAGCACGTCTCTTGATGAACCATCAAGGAAAACATTTTCAAGCCTGAAGAATGCAAAAGTCTGGCAGTTGCACTGCAAGGAGGTTTCCTCTGGAAGACAGCTTCTGAACAGTTACAGCAGGAAGGAGGAGTGCATCAACGGCATTTGCATGTCATCATCAACAGGGATTTACTGGGGCACAATCTGCATTACAACTGAAGATTGAACCAATCTCATTTTCATCTGCAGAGAGTGCGCAGGACTCCACTGCAGCAACATATGTGAATGCATTTAAACCCATTTATTCTGAATTGCACATACACACTTGCTCTTCCAGGACTCCTGTCATTCTACCACTGTGCACTCCCAGGGTGATCATTTTAGTTGCTCGCTTCAGTAAAAGGCAGGAACAGAAAATAAGGATCCATCCCAAAATGATTTGCAAGCCACAAGCAGCTCTTCTGTTTCCCCTGCCTGAGAAAGACAGAGCTTCCTACCAGATAGGCAGCTGTCAGCATTTGAAAGGCAAGCACTGTGATTATCCTGCCTGGTGAGCTCTAAGCTGCTGTATTACACCACTCATAGAGCCATGCACTGGCTAGTTCTGCAGATGCGGGTTCACCTTGAGAGGCTGAGGGAGGGAGTAACCCTCCCTTTGATGCTCTGCAGTGCAAACCACACTGTGCTGCAAGAGAAACACAACCGCAGCCATCCTCTCCACCCTCCATTGTCCAATCCATCATACAACCCTGCAAGACAAGTTTTTTGACCTGCTCCAAGGAATTCCATTAGAGAAAGCAGAAATTCACATTGGAAATGGCTGCAGTAAGAACCTTCTATCCCTTTCTTGTCTTTTTCTACACTAATGCTTAGGTCTCACTAGTTACTACTGTGCAGCTGGTTAGCATCCTAAATTAAGTGCCAGCTGAGGTCAGCTGTGCAGCTGAGTGCTGAAGCTCAGGTCTGAACTCAAGAAAAGCTCTTCCAAAAAGCACTTTCAGAGTACTGTCATGGCTTTTTATGCCAGACAAAAAGAAACCACCCATTTTTTGGCCTTTGACTAGTGAGCCAGGGACTTGGCAGATAAACCTACACCATATGCAACTTGAGAAAAAAAGTGCATATAAAAAGCAGAAACCTGAGTGTAAGGTAAAAGCATTTGCCAAATCAGCAGCTCCACTGATGCTGAGGTATGGAATAGGCAGCTGCTTGGAACCAGCTCAGCAAGTGCTGGGATGCTGGAGCAGCCCCTCATGGTTTGGGGTGAAATGCCACACACCCATCCGAATTTCACACCTCATTTGCAAAAGGTATTAACAAGTTCTAAGGGAGCATCATGTCCAGATTAACACTGTTATTGCACTTCTATTCCTGACAGCAAATCCTTATCCTTTACGTACTTCAGTGCCAGCAGACTTCAGGTCTCCAGTGGACTACACTGAACAAAGTTTACAGCCTGTTTGAGTAGCCTTTTGGATGAAGACAGTGACATTTCCACTGGGACAGAGGAATTGTGCAGAGTGAGAGAATGAGTTTTTCAGGTACTGTATTTAAGCCGTATGATGAGCTGGGACTGCCTTTGTTTATAGTCCATTTTCTCACACCTCAGCTACTTCATATGCAGATTTACTCATTCAGAAGGTCTAAAAGGCTCATAGGGCACCTTACAGCCTTTCTAGTGGTGTAGGCTCTCCGATTCTAATATTAAAACTGTACCATTGCAAGACAATGACAGCAACAGTCAAACTTTATCACTGCTGTGATACCTATGCAGTTACAGCTGAGGAGTAAAAAAACAACCTAGAAGAGGACTCTGTCCCCAGAAGAGGGCTATTCTTATGCTTTATGTGAAGAGAAACCAGTTCCAGGTATCAAAGCAGGCAGGTTCCTTTCCACAGTTTCCATGGAGCATAGAACCAACACCTGGGATAAGAAGCGGCAATGGGAGAAAACAAAGGTGCTCTTCAAACAGCAAGTCTTGGTACAGATTGCTCATTTAAGAGCTCTACAATCCCCGTTCAAGACTGAGGAAGAAGTGGTTTACAGTTCCAAAGAAAACCCTCCTTCTAAACATAAAGAATAACAAACCTAACAGCTAATACTCTAATCAGTTGTGCCCCAGAGATGTAGTCCCTTCAGTCAAAAAAGCAATTCCTAAATGAGCTTGTAAAAGATGCCAGCACATCCAAAGCTCCGTGATGATGCCTCTCCCTGTCACCCAGATAGAAGCACTTTGCTTGACAGCACCATATGTCAATGTCTCCACATGAATATTAAGGCTTCAGTGGGTCAGTGAGTTATACTTGATTTATTTTTCTTAAAGCTTATCCTCATTACATCAGTGAACCACTTCCATCCTCCCCCAAATTTTACAATCATTTACTATGCCTTACTACTCCAGCTACGGGCACCAGCTTGCCTTACTAACAATACCAGAGTACTACAGATAAAACACACATGGCTTTTGTAATATGTCTGTAAAGACTTCACTGCAAGTTTGCAGCTAACAGTCAAGACTTCTGTATTCCCCTGCATTGAGGTTCTGGTCATAATCTACTTTCCTGACAAAAACCATTTAGGACTGGGAGCTGCAGTTGCCTGGTTTTGATGGCAGTACCATTTCGACTAGTTCAGCTCAGCTCATCTCAAACAGCAGCATCATCAATCCTGCACAGCCAGAGAGGTACAAGCAGCCATCCAGGGAGGCCAAGTAACTCAGGATAATGGTGAACCAGAGATTTAGGCTGCAACACATTTGCTGGGCAGATTTCCACTGGAGATTCTGGTCCTGGTCCTGCTGTGCCAGAGAAGTGTCTTTTGAAATACCTTGAAAATATTTTAGGAAGCAGATCAAAGGGCTCTGGGTCACAACTTGAAATTAAATGTTTAAGATAGCACAGCAGACCCCTTAAAAGCAAGCATCAGTCTTACACCTCTTGTGTACTTCCTGTCAGGTGGGTGTGAATCAAGAGCAACTCCATGGACAGTGGAGAATTTATGTTAATGCTTATTGCACTATAGGCTAGTGCTTTTAATGGAGAACAGTCACTTGTTTCCTATTTAGCAATACATTTGAAAACCTGACACATTCAAGTGGATACCTGCATGGATAAGACAAGAAAATACTTAACTTTCCCACTGATGTGAGCAGTAGCAGAAGTCATCTAATCCAATACCCTGTTTAGTCTCTCATATAACTGCAGTTGTTCCTATTAATTTGTTTTGCAATGCTTTGTCCAAGCCAAAAGGAGAGTTTATAAAAAGAAAAATAAAATACTTACATCTCTTATCTTCTTTTCCCACCTTCTGACACACTTTGTAATTCCCAGCATACATGTTACATAGCAACTGTGTAGATATATATGCACATTATATAAAATATATACTTTTACATACACACTAAAGGTCCCTCTTCACATCAGCATTACACATTCTGAAGAACTCGACTGCAAACAATTTGGAATACCTAACCAATCCAGAAAGGGGGAAAAAGAACAAGCTACCCAAAACTCCCTAGGAAAGCTTCACACTCCTTTGCAGGTACCAAGAGATCCCGTTTTCTTATGATCAGAGGAATAGTTACATTTCTGCACTGCTTTGCTCCCCCCAGACACACCCCGCTCTGCAGTTTCAGTGTTGGGAAATGCTAGTTGCTCCCTTTCCACTGAGAGGAATATTAATAAATAAAAACAGTTTCTCTGAAAGTGCTGCCTTAGTCCAGTCCATCATGCTGTGCTTTCCCATTCACCCTGTGGCTCTGCT